CCCCAAGGGGATCGTGACCCACAGGTTGAGAACCACCTCTCTAGAGCCTTGTACAAAAGTGAGGTCCCTAACATTCCCTGCCTATGACCCTGAGATGGAAGAATTCTGAGAACCATCAAGTGACAGAAGGAGAGAGTTGGGGGGACTGTGGGGGATGTGATGTTGGGGGTCATGGTGTGAAGAAACCTTTCAGAGGCCAGAAGCACCCATCCCTGCAGGGTTAGGCTGCTCCGAAAGAACAGGCTTTCCAGCCAACTGCCTAAGAATACATTTGCCCTTTTCAACCCCCATGGGAGGAGAGGCTAGATTTCGGTTGTGAACTGCTAGGTCAGCAGTTTGAAACTATCCACTGCTCCACGGGACAAAAAGAGGCTTTCTACTCCCTTAAAGAAGTTGCAGTCTCAGAAACCCACAGGAGTAGTTCTGCCCTGTCCTACAGGGCTGCAAGGAGTGGGCATTGATTTGATGGCCATGAACTTGGAGTTGCAGCTAGAAAGAGTGGTGGGGTCACCTGTTATTTGCTCCCTCTCCACACCTGGGCCTGCCCCTGCTTTGGCCTTGCCTTATCTGTTTACAAGTACCCTGCTGGAGCTGGGGAGCCCCAGGGGGGCTGTGTTAATACCGGCATCTGAGTAGTTCCCATGATGGACCTCCTGCTCTTGCAGGCCGGTCTAGAAGGACCTGCACGTGTGCCTGCACACAGAGGTTTCCAAGTCCAGAGTGTCGGTGGAGCCATTCCGTGACACGGGACACAGGCGAGGCAGCACATGCAGCAGGCAGCCTGTCTTGTGGGGAGTGGCGAGCGCATGTCATACATGGCACCTTTGCCTTGGGACTCAGAGAAAGGTAGCCCTTTAGCTCATTGCAAGGATGGAACGGATTCCTTGGGGATTCTCCCAGGCCACGTTTGTGACCATTGTTCTCGGTCGCTAGCTGTGAGGATCGCACCAATATCGTGGAGTCTAGAATCCATGTGCGTAAGGAGATGCAGAGGCAGACTCTGCGTCTGCGGGCTCCTTACCTCTGATTTGCTGATGGCAGACCTAGACACACAGGGGCACTCAACAACTGTTGGGATGGGGGGTGGGGCTGGTGGGGGACATAAAGTAGAAGGCTGTAGCCCCCAGTAAGGACACCTTCTGGGAGCCTCTCTCCCCTAGCTCCACCCTTCACCGCCCCTTTTCCTTCCTAGGGCGCAACTGGGACGCTCATTCATTACTTTACATCCAATGGGCCTGCTCTGAGGGCGGACTCCCTTGACGCTATGGGGCGGGACGGTGCTGGACTTTGCGGACGTTACTGAATTGAGTCCCCCACAGCTTCTTGTCAAGATGGGGGAGGGCATGCGCATCAACCTGGACACCAAGAAAGGCAGTGACGAAAGCGGACACCTAGTAGCCCTTGGTGCCAGGCTTTGCGCTGGGCCCTTGATGCGTATTGGTGCACTGCGCCCTCACACCAACCCTGTGAAGAAGGTGCTATGATTAACCCCATTTCAAAGATCGCAAAAACCCTGGCCTGGGGAAGTGATACAGATTGCCCAAGGCCATCGATCAATAGGCAGTCGAGCCAATGTTTCAACTCAGGCTGTCTGACTCCAGAGCCTGTGCTAACGATAATCATGGCAGAGGCAGGCCTGGCCTTATTGCACCCCGCCGATCCGCTTTTTCACAGATGCAGGGTTTGTGGCAATCCTGGGTTGAGCAAGTTTTCAGAACCATTCTCCCCTCTGCCCCCCAACAGCATGTACTCAGTTCCAGTCTCTGGATGCCCATTGCCATCGAAGCCGTTCTCACTCCTGGTGACCTCGATAGGGGACTTCCAAGACTGTCAATCTCTAAGGGGGAGGGCAGCGTAATATTTCTCCCGAAAGTGCCACTCAGGAGCCTCTTAAACGACCCTCTTCAAAGATGAAGGGGGCCTGGTGCCACAGGGAGTTCTCTGGTGGGCTGCTAACCACAAGGTCAGCAGTTCGAACTCACCTGTTTCTTCCCAAGAGAAAGATGAGGCTCCTGCTCCAGGAAAGATTTACAGCCTCTGAAACCCACCGGGGCAGTGCCAGCCTGCCCTGTAGAGTCACAATGAAGTGGCATCAACTCGATGCCAGCGAATTTTGGATTCAAAGATGAATGATCAGCAGAAGGGAGTCCATAGGGGACACGAGCCAAGAGCCTTGGGAAGGAACAAGCCAGCAGAGAACCCAAAGGCTAGAGGAAGAATACCCCTGGCAGAAGAACTGCTCCCTGAGAAAAGAGCTGTCACTTTTACAGACACGAAGAAAACATAATGTTTCTGATTCAAGAAGCGATAAACAGGCATCCCTGGGAGATACAGAAAGTGAATATTGCGATACAGCGGGTCTCAGGAATTTTGTGATTTCCCGGTGCACATAAGGGTTACGTTGAAATGATGCTGGCGTCTATTGAGTGTGCAGTAGCATTATGAAAATAATTTGAAATGTTGTGAAAATTACCAAAATGTGACAAGGAGACATGAAATGAGCACCCACTGTTGGGGAAAATGGCGCCGATAGACTTGTTTGGCGCAGGGTTGCCACAGCACTTTCCATTTCTGACAAAACGCAGTCTCTACGGAAGGCCACAGAGCGGGATACCAGGCAGGATGCCTGTGCGTGATCAACGGCGGGCAGGGGGGAAGGCAGCTGCAAGAAGTGAGCAGGTAAATCAAGCCCATCCACAATAAGGCAGAAACAAGATCCACGTTTGGAGCAGCAAGAAGTAGCATCTGTTTTGAAAAAGAAAAAAAGCTGAGATAAAAGTGGTCCGGAAAAAGATGAAAGATAGAGATAGGAGGCGGGGAAGAATTCACCATTGGACCAATAAGTGTTCTTGCAGAAGATAACCAAACAAGTGGGAAGAAAATGAATTCCAGTCTCACTGCATAGCCATTCTCAGGAGGGCTTGCGTAGGGAGGCTGAAAGTTTGGTACAATCTCCTCCAGGAGTCCCCAGGGGAAAGTCTTGCCACCTTCAAAGCGCTAACGGGCTTCCACAGGGGAAAACAAAGGAGAATAATCAGCAAGTGTAAGAATGTCCTATCTTCTAATGTCACCCACCTGTTGGAAAGGTCCCTAGTGAGGAAGTGGGCATCCTGACATGGAGATCTCCAAGCAGAGGTTGGAGTGCCCACATTTGGAGACACCAGGAGGTGGCGGTGGTCTGATCAGAAGAACACATGTGGTCAGGTGGCGTGGTTGGTTCCAGCTCACAGCTGGTTCCAGCTCACAGTGACCCTGCGCACAACAGACCAAAATGCCACCACCACCCCCCCCCCCCCCCCCCTGCCCTGCGCCAGCCTCACCGTTGTTTCCATGTTTAAGCCCATCGTTGGAGCCGCTGTGTCAGTCCATCTGGTAGAGGGCCTGACTCTT